TCATCATCAGAATGTTTCAATCTGAGTGATATAATATGTGTCACAATTTCTGTAACACAGTGCTTAGCCAAATTAAGTTATCTTGAATCAGATTTATTGACAGGGCTGTTACTGCTTTCATTTACTCAGCAACCATTGGTTAATTACTTCTGCAAAGCAATAAAGCAAACGATGCCAATGGGCTGATTCTAAACCGCTCAGCGTCAGTGTTAACTACGCATTCAGGTTCACTATATATCCAAACAACATAGCAAAACAACCCAAAAACGAAACAAACAAACTAACACTCCCTTTTCAAAAGCATCAAGCAGCTTTGGGTAGGGATTGAGAGGAGCCGCAGGGGGGCTGTGATATCTGTCATTCATGACCTCTGCTCCATAGAGGGAATTTGGTTTGATGACCCATCAGAGAATCTACAGGGGTCTTGCAAGAACCAGAGGACCTAATGGTGAGGGGAGTAAAGGGTGACATCTAGCTCTGCAGTCTGTTCAGCTGGATGGGGGTCAATCGCTTGGCTTGAAGTTCCAGAGCCAGCTGGAAAATCATTATAAGACGGGCCTTCGTGTCCAGAATGTTCCATTCCCTGTCGCAAGAGAAGGTCTCACTGGCAAGTCAGAGGAAGCAGCTTGCCTCATAATTATGACATGAGTTTATTCTGTGTAGGACAGGGGCAAACATATTCCAGCTGTGCACTAAGTTGGTGTTGGGACAAAATATGAAGCTAGTTGATTAGGAATGTCTCTATATGTGGTACACCTGTTGAATTGCTATCAAAAACAGCAACTCAGTAAATAATATGCGAGCAACGCAACTCTTTCATATTTCAAGGTGTTGTAAATACAACTTGATAAAGTTCAAACGAAGCATTGCATGAAGAAGAGAGGAGATTTAGGTGACGTTTAAATGTTGCATAGTTATTGGCAATATTTCTCTGCTAATAACTGGCAGAGATAAGTGGTCGACTGAGTGGCAGCTAAGTAGATCTAAATGTATTGGTCAGAAGAGAACTGATTGGATGGTTCAACATAAAAATCCTCCAGTTGATCAAATAACCAATCATTATAACCAAGAAATGCAGAAGTTGCAGTGACCCAGACTGCTCCATGTGCTGCTTCCATCAGCTAAAATAGGATGAAAACTGTTTGGAAAAATGCTAACTACTTTGTATTATGGCTCAGGGAGGCTGTAGTGATGTAATCATGAGGGGAGACTTTTTTTTTTTTTTGACAACTTAGTTTCAGTTGATCTTTGTGTAAACACCACAGGTATGTCCATCCCTTTTATGACCACAGGGTGTCGGTCTACAGTTGGCTACTTCCAGCAGATTAGGGCATCATGTCACAAAGCTCAGATGGTCTTTTAACTGGTCGACTGAACAACAGCATTCACTGAACTCAAATAACCTCCACAGTGACTAGTTTTCGATCACCACAGTAAATCTGCAGCATGATGGTCTGATGTTAAAAATTCTATAGCATTCTTTCAAATGCTATAGATCAAATGTATGAATGTGATGCATTCAAACACATCATAATTGACATAAGGAAGATTTGCACAAGCTTTTATCATCTAAGTCATTACTCACCTGTTTTCCAAGTACAAAATGCACCCGACAGAGCTTTAACTTTCGTATAACGAGACTTTCTGCGCCCAATTCTTTCTCTGGTTGCGAAAAACTTGGGTTTTAACGTTGGTTTATCTGCTTTCCCCCGCAAGTAACCTTACAGAGCTGAAGTCCTTGGGGAATTTTCTTGCCATTAGTCTTCACCTGGACGTTGGCTAATTAGAGAACAACGATTCAAAAGATTTCTCGAGCTCTGTTTAGCTCTTCTTCTTGATTTTATGGCAGTTGGCAAGCACTGCCATAAAAGAAGATGTGCATTACCGCCATCTACTGGATTGGAGAGTGGATCGGGACCCGAAATATACAATATTTTACACAGATTTTAAAACTAAAAAAGCGCACAGAGTTCCATTAACATTATTTGTTTGTCGATTGTTTGCTCTACTTTCGCTTTCCGGTAGAGCCGGTGTCATTTCAATTGTATATAAATCCTCCTTTTCACCCATTAATAAATACAAATGGGGTAGATGTGGCAACAATCACCTGCAAGACACCCACTTTAAAAACAGCAGCATTGAAAAAACAGAAAACAATTTACATGCATATCAAATGTTATCATCTCAATCTCTTTATACCACTTCTTCCTGCAAAATTGCATTTATATGCACAAAGGCATTCAATTACTGTGGCTGTGGCTCAACTTTTCACATCTCACAGCATTTTCTATTTGGAGAGGCAGTCCCCATGTACATATAATAGGCAGGCATTCTGTTCCCCCTGCTCTGCAAGAGATCACTGTGAGTGTGTCACTTGGAGGAGATGGCAGCATGTATCATTGCATAAAATCAAGCTTCTGCTCCAAAGTGACAGGCCCTGGATATTGTTGGCAAATGGATGTTAAATCCATCCAGGAACCACCAACAGCAGTCCCAGCTATAAAAAATTAACTGTACTCTGGCTAAGGGAAAGGGAAATTGCACTGCTAGATATACCACAATTGTGAGCAATCCATCTGACAGACCTTGTTTTGTGGAGAAAACAAGGTCTGTCAGAACGAAGAAGAAAGGAAGAAAGAATTGTTATTTGGCTGTTTCTGTTAAGGTTGGTTCTTATTTGTTGTTTAGTCTAATCCAATATGAGAGCATACACAAAAAGACGTCAAGAAGAGTTACAGAAAAGACCTTGGCTTTGCTGTAGTCTGCAGCTCATCAAAGACAGCAGCACGAACAGGCCACAGAAAACAAAATGGTGCTATGCCAGTAACAAACACTAGAGTGCACTAGATCTTTTGATTCAAAACCAGGCCAGCTAAATTTGTTTCTATCTTTTTAGCAAATTAAATATGTAATTTATCAGTTCAAAGCAATTTTTAACTATATAAAATTCAACTCTATGTTGATCACATGGACGGTGACAATAATAAAAAAAGAAGAGGGAACAAATCCAAGACCATATAATCTGAAACTCGAGGTCAAGTTAATTCACTTTTCTTAACACTCCATTGATCCATCCATTGATTTTGTTTTTAGAAGAAAAGTCTGATTTGTGTAAAAAATGAATTCAACCATGCACTTAAAACCTATGTTTCAAGTTATTTCAGAGAGGGTGCTGGTTAGACTTCCACTTTTCTTCATTTTTTTATTTTGGTTTTGTCCACAGACAGGTATTTTTTAATGAGACAAATAAGGTGTATTTATTGATGAAGAGTATTTCAGTTTTAATGTCTATACCACACTGCATGTTGAGTGAGCATTCTTGACTTTAAAACAAGTTTTAACATTGTGCCAGCAGATGTCAACATAACACTATTTCTAAGAGTGAACTGACTGCAGCCAAATATTGCTGCTTTTCATGCAGCCAGGAATTACAAATCAATTCTGTCCAGAGGCTGGAAATCAAATTATCGCCTCTCATCTTTCTTACCACACAATTATTCTGAGAAAACCTGCAACCTGACATTTACACAGGTTTTGGATTTGAACCTTTGCACAAATGAAATGTTTTTGCGGAGCATTTATGTCCCCCTTCATAAGCATTACAATATCCACTTTCCAAATGATCAGCAGGAAATGTTTATAGGATTGGCTCAGTTTATAGAGAGCTCACTCTTTCACTTTCAAACTTTCCAGATAGGCTTTGTAGAATCCAATGCTACAGTCTGAAAAAATCATGTATACTTCAATAACCTATTCTATGATCCACAAGAATACAAAAGTTGGTAATGCCACAGGACTAAATACTTCTGGACACTCGATATAATCATTGATTATGTCCTGAGGTGATGGAAACACAGAAGAGAATCTAAAATACAGAAGGTTAAAAAAACTGTTATGGCACACCAGAGACATTTTTTCCTATTGTTTCCTTCTATTAAGCATAGTTCACAAAGTACCACCATTGCTTCTTCTCAGTCAGCCATATTTGTTTACTCTGAACTCAAGTTTGGTCTAGAATGGTTAGAAATTGGTTGAGAATTCTCGTAGCATTTATCCAGGTAACAAAAGTTATCTGGGTCAAATTCAAGTGCATGGTCAGGACCCACATATTGGATAGTTACTGTGGTTGGAATATAAAGAAGTCATGTTTCTTTCAAACTTTTATCTCATTGGCTGAAACCAAAAACAACATTGTGTGTATAGCAAATAAACTCCTCTGTGTTAATCAGCTGTGCGTTTCCCCTACACCTGAAACAATTCAGATTTACTATGTAAATAAGCTAAATTCAAACACAAAGTTTACCATTTTAAATCTCAAGCTGCTATTTAAGCTATATTGTTTTTCCATCGCATCAACTATATTTAGCAAAAAAACAAAAGCCACCATTTTCACTGTCTTCTTTGTGTTCTTTTCTGTGGCATGTCACATTTTGCTGGCAGACAGCTGAGTAAACATTGGACTGACAAAACACAGTGAACCAACACCAGCTGATGACTCATATAAACCAAATCATTACCAAAACAGTGCTTCTCCTTTCTTTATCTAGACTATTTCAGCACTTTCTTTTAACAAACTTTATCCTTCCACCTAACCTTTGTTTAATATGCATTAATACAACACTATTTCAACAGCTGACTTCTTTAGTGACTTATATTTCGGACTTTCCCCCCTGTGAAGAAATAAGAAATAAATGCTTAGGATATTTTAGTTTGCGTGTGACTAAAACTCTGCATTGGAAAAATAAATCGTTTCCATTCGGGCTGTATTTCATAAGGGCAAAACATTTTCTCAGCTGCAATCTGCACGCAAAAATGTGCGTGCAGATTGCATTAACCACTTTTCCATTGTCTGAAATGAAACCTTTCCCTCCACATATTGCGTGTTTTGGTCTTCTCAGAATGATACTGAGTGATACACTCTACCAAAAATGTATGACTCCCCCGCTCCAACTCAGCCTGGAGACTGCGCAGAAAGCGACGGAGAGAAAAAGTGCACGAACAAGCACAACTTTGAAAGTTTATGCAGCCGCTGTGCAGGACGTCCTAAAGTGGGGGTGAAGGGGGGCGAAATCTGCAGAGGAGCAAAGGCATCGCAAGCTGACGGACTGAAAGCAGCAATCGCTCCGAACCAAACTTAAGAGAATATTGCCCTGCGAAAATGGGCTTTCCGACGATACCTAGGTGTCATCGGGTTATTTTAAGAGTGTTTTTGTTTCAGTTTATCGCTTTTCAGGCGACAAATGCTCGCCCGTCTCCTATAATCAGGTTTCCCGGAGACGATACCCCGAGAACAGACAAAGAAGTTGCTCTGGTGAGTTTGTTGTCGAATCTATCTTACAGAATGTGCATCTAAAAGTTGCTGTACAAACTTTGCTTTTGTACGCAAAAACCTTTGTGTGATATTCAGAATAAAAAGCTATTGTTTTTATATAAATAAAAAACGAGAGGAATTCATTGTCATGTTTTTTTTTTTTTTTTTTTTTTTTGTATCTTGCACATCTCCTGTAGCACTATCTGAATAAGTTTTATGGATGCCCACAAGACAGATGCAACCTTATGGTGCTCAAAGACACTTTGAAGAAAATGCAGAAGTTCTTCTCCTTGCAAGAAACTGGAGAAATAGATGCCAAGACGGTGGAGATCATGAAAAAACCTCGCTGTGGTGTCCCAGATGTGGCCAATTACAACTTCTTCCATAGGAGACCCAAGTGGCAGAAGAAGGAGATTACTTACAGGTCAGACTCACAGGGACTTTTGTGTAATGTTCCAGTAACTTGGTCTTGGCAACACCTACAATTCCTACTTCCTACTTTTAACTTGGAACTTGTCAATATTTGAACATCAGAGTGCTGGTCAACTCTAAAGGGACCTATTAAAGATACACATATTGGGTGTATTTGGCTAATTTAATGTCAGCCATTGATACCATGTTTTATTTACTTGTCTTGAAAAAGCTTTCAATAAATCAAAGCATTCCAGATGTAACATGGTACTTGCTTCCAACTGACACTTAGAAAACTCCCTTAAGTCTCTGTTTTAAGTGCTTGGATTTTTTTTTCTTTAACCAGCATAGCTATGGAGTATGCATCAAGAATTTTGTTATGTTCTGTTTTAGGATCACAACATAGTGTATTTATGTGTCATTACAGCCTGCCTGTTTGTATGTTTTTCACAAAACTGTTAGACAAAAGCAATAACAACAATAAGGTCATGCATGGTTTTAAAGAAAAGCACAAAGTAAAATGGGTCAACAGATTTAGGGTCTATTGCTTAATTTCAAGAGTTTCGGAAAACGCTTTCATAGATGACTCATACTGTCCAGCTTTTTTTCCATTATCTTGAGAAAAGAGCAGACATCTTGTGACACTTTCACAAGATGTTTGATCTTTTCAAGGAGTATGTGTGCATTTGTAGTGTCATTTTAAGTTAACACTTTGGAATTTCTTTGTAGAATCCTGGGCTACACTCCTGACCTGGACGAGGAAGTCATAAATGATGCTTTCTACAGAGCCTTTAAAGTGTGGAGTGATGTCACACCCCTTTCTTTTACTCGCATCATGGATGGAGAAGCTGACATCATGGTTAATTTTGGCCGCAATGGTATGCTACGTTTGTAATGTGAATTATGTTTAATATTCGTAATACACAGCATTGATTTTTGTTTTCCTCCCTTAAGCACCTCCCTATCCAGAAAACAGTAGAGCAAAAGTTCAGATGTCTACAGACTGTTTGCAAAGGACCAATAACACAAATGTTTTTATGGTGACTCTGCACATGACCATCCTATATTTAAGGAGCATATAATAAAACAGTGGGAATTGTGGTCTTTGCAAAGGCCATTCCAGTCATTCCAACTAAAATAAGCACTTGATATTTACTTAAAGTGTTATAATATCATTCTGTATGGCCACAGCCAACCACTTTGAGAAAGACTCTGGTAATTATAGTGAAGGACAAACAAAGCTTCTCCAGAGGACATACAATTATTGTTATGGGTACTATAATAGTAATATTGTTGTAAGAAAAAGAAGGTTTAATCTTTGTTTGGATGTGTGTCAACAGAACATGGAGATGGTTATCCTTTTGATGGAAAAGATGGTCTCTTGGCTCATGCCTTTGCCCCAGGACCAGGAATTGGGGGTGATTCCCATTTTGATGATGATGAGCAGTGGACCTTAGGAGAGGGCCAAGGTAATTGAGCATTGATTCTATACTTTACACTATGAAAAGCACATGAGAAAAAAAATTGCTTTTTATACTGTTAAAAGTTCTAAATGATCCAAGCATGTTTCTACTTTTTTTAATTTTTAAAAATGTATTTCAAAGGTTCCTCTGTTGGTTTAGATGCCATTAATGTTACCCCCCATGTGTTTTTGGATGTGTTATGATAGCCTGACTGAATGTTGAGTGTATTTCCAGTATAGGGTCCAAAACTGGGTTGTTTCTGTATGTTATGAGAGGATCCTCCTGGACATTTAACATATTTTGATAGCTTACTACATGTTTTATTTTAAGACTGAAGTAGGTAATTTATTAAAACAATATTATTTACATAATTGTTAAAAATATCTCTATGTCATGACAGTAGAAATTGAGACAGGTAATCTGCAAAAAATTTTTTAACTCCTCTAGTAGTTGCAGCAATACAGCATCTCCACTAAGAACCAACCAATGAGGTCCAAGAAGAATATTTTAGCAGTGTTAATCATGTTCTTGCAAGCACTGCTCACACACTGCTCATAGCTGTGCTAATGTCAGAGAAACAATCTGATCTTACTGGAAAACTAATAATTTATCAAGTTTTTGGCAGACTCCACTATGTGGGAGGGATTATGGAGGGTGGGTTATAGCACAGAAGAGAGAAAGGGGAGGAACCTGTGAAGTGTGCATGTTCAAAATTTCAGACTAAATCCACCATTTACTAGAAACTGCAGTTTTTTGGCAAATGACAACAGTTTATAAGATAAATATAATTTTTAAAACATGTTTCAATGTATAAATTATACAGATCTAAAATGACAATCAGAAACTAGAATCAAAGATTAATAACGTTTGCAGTCATTTTATGGAAATGCACTTCTGTAGCAAACCTTAAATCAAATTGTCTATGGCAAACTTCTGTAACATTTTGTGTTTGGAGCAAGATGACAGAAACCTAAGGAATGTGGTGTTCCACTGTCGTAACTTCAGTTTATTTCACAGTGGTTAAACTTTGAAACCAACACAATCATTGCTGCCAGAGACGTTAAACACAGTCACACACTTCTCTGGGCTTGTAATTGCTTTAGTTTGTACTTCAGAACTTAGACACTGTAAAACTTTATGAAATGGTCTGAAAATCTGATAAAAAAGACTTCTCATTTTCTTGCCAGAAATAACTAAAATCATATGTTTGTCCCTTATTTTCTTCAAGCCCATTTCATTCATGTATTTCAAGTGTAAAACAGTTTCACATTAAGTATGACTGATGTTGTCTTAACAACAGTACTAAATACTTTTGTTATTAAGTTTAAAGCTGATGGAAAATATGAGCTGCAGTGTAATTTAAACTGGGAGACAACTGAAATAACATGCTGAGAATATTCAGCTAATCTGATTTAACCCTTCTGCAGCAGATACAAATTTTGGTTTATAGTTACTCAGTCTGCCTACAGAAAAAACATTCTTGTACATTTAATTGCTGTAGTGTATTAGTAGTATGTAGTGATTTTTTTTAAATTGGTAAGGCAGCTTTACCCTACTTTGTCTTCGTTTTTTTAAATCTTTGTCTGAAGATACTGGCACTCACTATATGAAGTTGAAGCCATCTGGAGGCTGATTAGAAAAAAATACACTTTTGGAATTACATTACATGACCCAGATAGATTTGCTCCAAGATTTATGCATTATTAAATTCATTTTGTCTTGATCTCCTGATATACAAAAAGTCTACATTTTAAATGTGCTTTTCTTTCTTGGCATTTCACTGTAATCACATGCTACTAAGCTGTTTAAATATATTTTTTTGTGTCAACTACTTTTAGTATTACTATTAAATAATTTTATTATTGCCTTCTGCATTTATTTGTAAACAAATTTAAGATTTTTAAGACACTGACATTCATTTACCACTTTGCAGATAATTGATGTTATGTGTATAAACATCTGGAGTAAATGCATCATCAACAAGACAACTTTTGTTTTGACAGTGGTGAAAGTGAAGTTTGGCAATGCTGATGGAGAGTTCTGCAAATTCCCCTTCCTGTTCATGGGGACAGAGTACAACAGCTGCACATCTCAGGGTCGAGATGATGGATTCCTGTGGTGCTCCACCACCTACAACTTTGATGAAGAGGGCAAATATGGCTTCTGCCCTCATGAGTGTAAGCTTGTCACACACTTCTCAAATCTGGAAGTCAGAAAAGCTTGGCAGAGTCTCCTGGCATATGTCAGCTTGAATTCTCTGAACAATCAATTACTTTCTGGCCTCTTTATCTCGGGAACATTGATGTTGTATTCCACTTTCATTTCAAACTTTATAACAATATTATACAATTATTTTTGCACTCAAAACCCTTCTGTGTTTTTGGACAGGAAGAAAGTAGGTTGAACTGTATGCCAGGAAAGCATGTTATTTCCTTGCTCTGGAGTGAATTATGGAACATTTCTTTTCCATGTTCAGAACACTGGGTTTTACTAACCACTTTGTTTATCTCTGGTGTTCATAGTATAAGCATTGATGCATACCTGGTCCAAGCATCGACCAAAGTACATGTGTACTAAGATGTTTCAGATAATGTGAACATGTTTGAGAATTGTTTTTACCAGAGCTGCTTATTCTGTTAAGATCTGGCTAATATTGATGTGGAAAATGTTTGTTTTTTGTCTTTTCTCTGGCTCTGTGTCTTACATCATCACTCATGGCATTTTATGATGACATTTCTATCTTGTCACTAAAATTTACAGTGTGTCATGTCTTTATAGCGATACACATACTTTTTTTTCTGTTTTTACAGTACTTTTCACCCTTGGTGGTAACGCAGAGGGCGCACCTTGTAAATTCCCCTTCAGCTTTCAGGGAGAAAGCTACGACAGCTGCACCACTCAGGGCAGGGATGATGGATACCGCTGGTGTGCCACCACTGAGGACTATGACCGTGACAAATCCTATGGCTTCTGCCCTGAAACTGGTAGGTGTTTTCATCTGCTCCAGTAAACGTCAAACCGATATTGAATAATCTAAAATTGTATAAAACTTATTGGAAATGATAACAATCGCATATATTTGTACACTGTTTTAAAGTCCTCACTTTAAATTTGTTAAAGTAGATGTAGTTCAAGTTCTTTGTGTGTTTATCCCTATTGTGCAATGCTTTTCCATCGTTGCTGGCAGGAATTCTTCAACTGGGGTTTTTTAGCCTTGCTGTGGTTAGTTTAATTGCAGTTAAACTATTTTAATGTGCACTGCTTTACTTTCCATTCAGTCAGTAAGATGTGTTTTGGGTTTCGATAGAGAAGTAGGTGAGGAGTCAGAAACAAATAACAATAAAGACAAACACTGTGATGTCAAACAGAAAATGTTACCTCGAAAACACATCCGTTTTGGTTGTGCTTTTTGACTCTGCTCCTGCTGTGGGTCAGCTAATATTTGTTTTGTGCTGGTTAATTTTCACTCCATCCACACTTGTTTCAGAGTACAGCCCGTAAAACCTAACTTTGCTTGAAAAACATTTTGGCAGTCTGAACTTTACTGCACACAAACCTCTAAAATAATCTACTGTGGTTTTCAGCAATGTCAACAGTGGGAGGAAATGCAGAGGGAAGCCCCTGTGTCTTTCCTTTCACCTTTCTTGGAGACAGCTATGACTCCTGCACTTCTTCTGGACGCAGTGATGGGAAAATGTGGTGTGCTACCACTAAGAACTATGACGATGACCGGAAATGGGGTTTCTGTCCTGACCAAGGTGCTATAGCGTTGAGACTTACAGATTGATGTTGGTGTACTTTTTGAGAAATCACCCAAGTATAAAAACCACATAGAAATATAGTTACTTTTATTTTATTGTGCTTTAAGTTACATAAAACCAACACTCTGCATAAATGTAAACTACTATGAAGGAAACTGTGGAAATTCCAGTCATAAACCTGCCTCTTTTATCTTGCAACCAAATAAGAAATGTCTCACAGTACAATTTGATTGAATTGTTTTTAGGGTATAGCTTGTTCCTGGTGGCAGCCCATGAGTTTGGTCACGCCCTTGGTCTGGAGCATTCTCAGGACCCAGGAGCTCTGATGGCTCCTGTCTATACTTTTACCAAAGACTTCAGACTTTCTCACGATGATATCCAAGGCATCCAAGAGCTCTATGGTCAGAAGAAATGTCATACTATTTTCTAAAAAGCATAATTATCTTAACTGGGAAGCAGAGAAGAATGAAAGTAAAATGTCCTGGTATATCTGACAACAGGTGTGCCAACCGACAAGCCTTTGCCTCCAACTCAGGGTCCTGTCACTCCAATGGACCTTTGCAAAGATCCAGTTATCTTTGATGCTGTTGCACAAATCAGAGGAGAGACGTTTTTCTTCAAAGACAGGTAATAGCTTAAAATGTAAAATGCTGTGTATTAAGAGGACTTTAGCATGTGTGCATGCAAATGAGGAAGCAGCCTTGCATATTCACTTGACATTTTCAGTTGTAAATGTTGTTGTTTAGATTAATGTTGGGGATATTTATGCAAATTTGATAGTTCATTTAATCAATAATATCATAGATAAATGAGTCACATATTTTGTTTCATAAAATATATAAGAATATTTTTAAATCTCAGTTTTAAATGATTACCTATTTATTTATTTATAAGTTGATTCTGGATATATGACAATTAGAATAAAATGTAAACATTGAAGTAACTATACCTTATTAAGAACTGTTTTTTATGAATAATCACATGAAAGGAAATTTCATAATTTGTGATGGTTTTTCAGTTGTCCCCTCCCCACAAACATCAACAAAGTAAAACATAAATGCTGATAGCACTTCTACCCAATGAAAACTAAACTTTACAGTCAGAATGTTGGCTAAAATTGAATATATCACTGTAAGTTTGTGGTTTCCACAGATTAATTTTTTATGCTCAACTAACAGAACATCAACTGTTCAGACCAGTTTATTACCTCCCAGTTACAGAGATTCCTATGACTGGGAGGCAGTGGCTAGAAGAGGACATTGGATGTTTAACTGGTTCGCCACTCTTATTACTTCTTAACTAAATTGAATATGTGTATCAAACAGTCTTAATGAAAGCCAGTGGTGCTGAGGATGTCAAAGGCACGGAGAAAAACAAAACAAATTTTACAGGAAGTTTACTTGACAAAAAATAAAGTGCTGCAAAAAAAATTGCAACTAAGTCACTGTAGGTTAATCAGGATTGGTTTCCACTTTGGCGGGACAAAAACATATTGGTTTTTAGGTTTTCTGTGTTTCTTTCCTGCCAGCACTCAATCTTTTGACAGCTCTTGGTATTACATGCCAAAAAAAAACATTATATGCGCATTTCGGTAGATGGTGAACAAATCGCATTGCCACATCAAATAGACCAATACTTTTTCACCTCTTTGCTTTTAACTCAGGAAGAGATGTAAATTTCCATTTAGACAATATACTATCTCCAGCTGTATTTTAATGCATTTTTCACAGTTTATAGTGAACAAATTATAACACTTATAACAATTCTTAATATCAAATATTAACAGTAAAAGTAGGAAAGAGATACTTGCCCACTGTGATACTCATTCAGTTACAGAGATTTGAACATAACATAGGATCGTAACATTCCTGCATTTTTTTAGAGTCAGCATGCCATCAGTGTGGAATGAGGGGATTTTGTGGCTAACTATAAGAGTCTAGCAAGGGTGTTTTTCAAGGTAGTTAGAGGAGAGAGTTAAAAGTCAAAACTCACAAGATATTTGAGCTTTGGTTTCAGAGAAACAATCATCAACAATCAGATTGAAATGATATATCAATATCTTGTGGTGAGCATAAATAAAGTAAAACTTAGCAGAAAGGGGAAAAATAAGCTAATTCCCTTTCCCCTACAGAGGCAAACAAACATTCATTAGTCATCAGAACAGTCTGCAGTCCTATCCTCCACCGGTGCCGATCCATCTTAATGCTTTGCAGAGTTCACCAAGCAGAGCATTTGTCTCTGAGCAGTTGCTTGCCTTTGCCTGATTTGAATGGGAATTTGTAGGAAATATGAAGACAGGTTTATGTTGCATAGCTGTCAACATTTGACTAATCGGTAGAAAAATAGACTTTGTCAGCAGAGGGTCTCGTTTCTTTCAGTTTCTAACCCATGAGTTAGAAACCACATATTTCACAGATCTTACTTTATTGCAAAGAAAAGAAAAGAAAAAAAAAACTTTCATTTCACTGTGGGTCTTATCCTCACATTTAAAGTGAGCACCAGAGCAACACAGAGGCTCAAAGAGTGCTCTTCGGACCATGAAACTTTGGCTAGGTTGTTTGAAATCAAGCTGAGTTGAGACCTAAATCCATTCAAAGCTTTAGAGGTCTGAAGAGTTTTGAGTTCAGTATGTGAGAGTTACTTACTTTCTTGCTGAATATTTGGGCAGGCAGACATTTTGTTCTGTTGAATCACAGCAGGCGTAATGTTTTATTCTGTCATGTGAATGTTGTTTTTTGTGTTAGAATGTGATCGTGCACCAAAAGATCCAAATTTGAGGTGAATGTGAAAGAGAGAAAACAATAAGCTGTCTCAAACCAGTCTCACAGAATGAGATACCTTGAAGTTATTTGTGTTTTATCGAGTCTTAAGCCGTATTCACATGGAATTAGTTTTACCTGTGGGCCACATGCTATTTGTAATAATTGTAGAGGTTATCTGTGTTCTTAAACTTGTGCAAAACAGCCATGCCAGTGATTTGTAAATTATCTACTATATTTTGCTGAACTCCAAGGTCCTGTGATAATCCAATGCAAATAGGCATCACTGTCATTTGGATGGAAATGGGTGAGAGCCAACACACAATTGGGCATTTTTTGTTTCCTGGGCAAATTTTTATTTTCTATATGGCAAAAAATGGATGCTATGTTGGAGTGTATTGAAAACCTTTTGCGTCTTGGACTAGAAAAACCCTATAGATCAGGAAAGTGCAACATCAAACAGGAATGGCTGAAGAGAAGGAGCACAATCAGATGCAAATGCTGGTTTGCATCATGAGCCACCAGAAGAATCCTTTTCTTCTGTTTGTAGCCTCCTGTTTTACATCTTGCTAGTTCTTGCAGTAACGCAGCACTGAGCTGCGCTTGTTGCCTGAAAAGTTGTTCTAACATCAACTCACATCATTCCTCAGGTTGACGCGAAAACGGCACGTTATCATCATATCAGGGAGATGTCTGTAAATTTCAGCAAAATCTTAGGATCCTCTATCAATGTGCAACATAAAACAGACATTGGGGAGAAATTCATTTACATTGGGTTCCCAGATAATGCCTTGTAAATAGGTCTTTAGTCCAAGCAAAATTCTGTAGCTTTAAAAAAAAACAACTGACGTTGACATGTCTGTAGTACTAAAGCTTTGTTGACTCTTGGATTGTAAAACTGGAGTCTGTCGATATGCTGAATCAGCACCTGTGTGTGATGTCCCACAAATCTTAACACAGTGCAGTGAGTAATGTTCCCAGCACTCCCTGAGGTCAGCATAAAATTGTCTGTCTGGAGACTTAAGGAAAACACTATTATAAACTCTGTTGCGTAGAAACAGTTTGAGAAACCTACTGATTAGACTCCCTACCAGTCTGCTCTTGCACTCGGGATATAAGCACACATGACTGGTTTCAGGATGAAAATTCTGAAATTTCTGTTCTACTTTATTAATAACACTAAGAGTTGTTCTGTGTCTGACAGGCTTAGAAAACATTTAACAAGGATTAGAGCAATGTGGACAAATAACATCTGAAGAACTTCTTGCTATTTTAAATAAAATCACTGATCTTATTGTTAGATGATTTTCTTAGCCATGAATACAACTAGCTTGGTTTGCAAAGACATTGCTATCTATCTGTGCTCGAAGCTTACTGCAGCAATAATTATTGGGCTCTGAGGTATTTGGGAACTCTAAATTATAAAGCTACCATAGCATTACTTTCTGTCTGTAATATGCACAGATATTAGTGTGAAATGTAGTGATCCATCCGTAAGACCATGATCATTGTCTGTTGAATTTGCCTGTTGTATTTAAAAAGTTTTTTCACCAAAGAATTTGTTTTTGTCATAGTCCTTATGCCCGAATCATACTTTGTATAACTGTTCTGCACTTCAGAGGCACAAGAACATGGACTGCTTTAGGTTAACCCTCCAGCAGAGCTTGTTGTCAGAATGTAAGTGATGCAAAAAAAAATAAAAAAAATAACACTCAATACTGTACCAAACTAAAAGTATTTGGGGAATAATAGAGATGTAGCAAAAGGGCTGTTGTAAAGAATTCTCTCTGTCAGCTTGTCAACTTTGTCTTTTATTGGAAAGGAAGGCAAAGTAAACATTTAACAGATCCATAAAACTTCTGCTATGTCCATCTTCACTTCAAAATGATCAGGCTAATTTTTGCTATTGGCAACTTTTTTTTTTCCATTTAGAAAATAGGTCAGTGGAAAAGAGTTCGGGGAGCTGCTGCTGTTATTTTGCAGCTGCATATTGGAAATCCAGGCAAGATGGGTCTTGTTCTGCTGGCGTCTGCAGCCTCAGTTCTAATGAGAACCAGATGCTCATGAATCAGGCCATTGTAGTTGGCTGGCCCAGTGAAGCACTTGCACTAAACTGCAGAACTCAAAGTACACATGCTCTTCCCCCACCTTCAGATCAACCCTTTTCCGTGTCGGTTTGCCTATCAGGCTAATTCTTTCCCTGGCTCGTCTGTTGCACGATCACTCACTCATTCTCTTTCTGCCAGGTTCCTGTTCAGGTCAGTGAACTTCAGGAGCAAACCCAGTGGCCCTATGCTGGTGGCCACCTACTGGCCTGACCTCCCTGCGAAGATAGACGCTGCCTATGAAAACCCAGTGGAGGAGAAAACAGTCTTCTTCTCAGGTTTGTAGGAAAACAAAAAATATTTAAGAAACAGTCAGTCTGAATCATAGTGACCCTTAATCTCTGATCTCTATGAGCATATTTTCTGTGATGAGAAAATTTCATCACAGAAAATGTTTTCTTTAATGCTTTACCACCGTTTTACCACTTGATCACCAAATTCTGAAATCAAGAAGCTGCAGGAATGTTGGCTGAGTACTTGTTTGTGGTGTACTGTTCCTCCATAGTCATTAGTGGTTTTAGAAACATTCTCAGCATTACATTAATATGAAAATATCCCAGAAAATTGGGAAGCATTGCACAATATGTTATCTGGCCTTGAAGACTTTGACTTTAGGGTAAGTTTTCCAATAATTTCATTAAATGTGTGTTTAGGTTAAAAAAGAAGTGCTTGATTGAAATGTTTTGCTTATAAGGTCAACATAAGTTATATCTTCTATTCCTAAAACTCAGTGACAAGCTGTGTATGACAAATTTTTCCATTTGGCTGTTTCTCTGGGTGACTGTGGCTGTGTGGCAGAGTTGTTGTCTTGCAATCGGAAGGTTGTAGGTTCGATTTCAGCTTCCTCCTGCCTCTGGGCAAGGCACTTAACCCCAAATTGCCTACCGGTCTGTCGTGTGCGAATGGGTGAATGTGACTCTAGTGTAAAGCGCTTTGAGTGGTCAAAATGACGGGAAAAGCGCTATACAAGTTCAGTCCATTTACCATTTAAATTCCTTTGATCCCAGGTGACGAAATGTGGGTTTACAAAGCTGATGAGCTGGAAAGAGGTTACCCGAAGAGGCTCTCCAGCCTTGGCCTCCCTTCAGATGTGCAGCAAATCGACGCTGCCTTCAACTTCAGGAAGAACAGGAAGACTTACTTATTTTCTGCAGACAAATTCTGGAGGTGAGGACAGGGACACGTTATTCAGCTACTTGCAAAGCTACAAAACACATCCGACCTCTTAAGTTAACACTTTGATACCTCTGATGTCATAATCTTTTAAAGCGATACTAGCGGTGCATCTGGATTAGGTTTGTGTTTTGGTAAGATCTAAACTACACTGTAAACTATTCCACATCTGTTAGAGCTTACATAGCATGGAAATTAGGAGTGTTGACTCACTGTTTCATCAGCAGTCTCAAAGGAAAATGTGATCGTATGCTCATTATGCCCTTCCAAAAGAATGCATTTTAATTTCTGACTATGTTTTTTTATTTTTTTATAGATACGATGAAAGTAGTAAGGCAATGGACCCTGGCTTCCCCAAGCTTATTGCTGAATCTTGGAATGGCATTCCTGATGACATTGACTCTGCTTTCAGTCTGAACGGCATTGGTAAATTTACATTTTTAAGTCATGTTAAATACATGCAAATCTCTGTGTGGCAGTTTTGTTTTGTGGTTTGGTATTTCTGGAATGAATACCACACCTGTCCTTAATGAAAAATGACTTTTGAAATCAAATGCTTTAACAAACAGTACATGGCTCAGAGCCTTGCCTGTAGGCTACTGCTAAGTTAGAAACTTTGCAACTTCTGAATTAGCATGTCAGTCTGTTTGTTATTGATGTTCTGCTGATATTGCCCTGCTAGTATGGTATTTTTAAGCCAATAAGTTCTTAAGATAAATCCATGGTGTGGTATGCAATGTACATCTGACCAGCTACACCAAAGTTAATTGTAATCTTTGTAAGTAGGCAAAATATAATGCCTACTGTGGTGTCTGGATAACAAAGGTTTTGTAGTTACTATCTAAAACTATGGCTCCTAATACAGCTCTGCTCATCATATGCTAGAAAAAAACAAAAAACAAATTGGATCTCTGGTTAACATGAGATCAAATTTGTTTCTTTTTTTTTCAAAATTTGCTACTCCTCTGGTATAAGGCTCAAGTATTTGTCTCTGTTTGTCACACTGTTCCTCTAGACATATAAATAAAGAAGAAGCTCTGTCCAAATAAGACATTTTCTGCAGTCAAAACAAAATTGTTGCACTGCATGATGTGGCTGGGCATTCTAGAAATTTTTCCCTTTTGGTTTATCAAAATCTGTGACATATTGCTTGTACCAAAGTGACACTACTAGTTGTGGTAACATTTGTTTCAAACTAATCAGAGATTTATGTCACTTTACAACATCATAGGAACAAGGATGATCTTCAGGTTTGGACATCAACCAAAAACTAATTTATCAGATTAACCAAAAGCTTCAACATCTGCCTACTTAGTTGTGTTATTTGTGAATCTTTTTCAGAGTTATTAAATTTGATTATAGACTATGTAAACCACAACAATGCTAGTAATGTTTTTTTAACATTTCTGTAATCTCATAATAATGTGGAAAAAAACTATTTTCCACATTATTATAACAATCCTCGGATAACACAGACAACACTTACCTGGTCATATATAGATCATTTCTTGACAGATCCCTGGACACCGAAATGGTTGTCAACTTGTGAGCAGCTTTTTAATCTCGATGTTAACTTTTTGAAACCTGAATACACATTAAACATCAGTGCAACAAATTTAGTAAAGTTTATTTTTTTATTTTCTTGTATGATATATGGTGCTATCTGTTTAAATTTGTTGATCTTCCTTTCTTTTTTCTTGACCAGAGCTTTGTTTCATTTAAAGCTCCATTCAGAAGTTGGCAGCCATGTTTTAAAGGAACACATTCAGAAATCTTTAAGGATGCATAAAAGCAGCAGACCTAAAGTCAGGCTGTGATCTGTTTATTATTATGGAAGACAGAGGAGATGCTTTAAGTTGTTCAGTCTGTGATTTGCAATGAGTGAACGCACAATGGTTTTTGATCACATTGTCTTCAGGGTATGCTATTAAAACCAGATGAAAACAGACATCTAAATTGCTTCAAAAACATAACCATTTATCTCACTTTGGTATTAAGTCAGACTGAGCTTTTCCTCTTTCAAATCAGATAGGAATACTAAACATATTTCTGTTTGCTAAATGCCTAAGTGATGAGAGCGTTGTAGGGAGTTTTTGGAGAAATTTATTTGCATTCTAGAGATAACTTGCAAACAGTTTCAGTATCTTTCCACAAACATCTCATTATAGTTTGAGGAATTTTGACCAATTCTTCCTCACAGAACTGCCGTATCTGAGGCTACCTGGTTTTTAAGCACATGTTCAGCTCTGGTAATGAAACTTTAATTATTCTGAGCTTGTGATGACCACTCCAAACATTGTGTTTGTTTTCCTAAAACCAATGTACAACTATATTTGCTGCTATTCTTAAGCCACTGTCCTTTTGAAAGTCCAATTTTTGCCCAAGTATCAACTCCCTTGGGCAACTTTTCTGATTTGTCGCTTTAATATTTCCACATAGTGTTCATCATGACATGCATTTTGTTAAGTCCCATCAGATATTTCCACAGCAAGACACAGAGCACAAGGCTGCCACCTCTGTACTTGACATGGTATTGACACTTGTGTAAAATCTTTTGTATGGAAGATATGACTCTTTAGGATCATGATAGGTTAATTAGAAAATAAGACATCTGTTTGAACAGCAGATGTCTACTATCAACTCTGCATAAAGGGGAATTTTAAGAAATGCGAGCAAACGTTTTCCTAACAGTCAGCTATGTGTCAACGGGTTTTTGAGGCTATGCAAATTATGTCCCTGGAGTTTTCCGTTACTGCTCTGCTACCGTGCACACAAGCATCACATACACACATTTATATAAGGCAAGTCTGTAACCATCGACAAAGGTGCTTCTGTGCACCACTTAACATATTTCATAAGGAATATTTCTCAAATTTTAACTTCAGCTGAGATGGATATTTCTTTTTCATAATTCATTAACTATCGAAAAAGATTACACAGGTTTAATAATTTTAAAGGCCCATAAATGTGTTATGATATTCATCCAGATTTCCTTTAAAATAAAACTTCATAATGTTTAAACCCTGAAACATGAATGTGAATGTTATGCTTGTCTCTTTGCAGATTACAGCTACTTCTTCAAAGGAAGTCACTATTTCAAACTTGAAGACAGCAGTTTGAAGATCGTCAAGTTGGGAGAAATCACAAAGGACTGGCTTGGTTGCTGAACATCTACCAAAATGTTTCACAGCAGGTGATGATGGTCTTATGAGGTCATCAGTGTTAATCACACACAACTTGAGGTTGTTGCAGTGCACACTGTTACAAGTTTTTATCCTTGGCCACTCTGCAAGCTTCTATGGGACACATGTACCTCCAGCCTGTATAACCGATCTCAGCTGGTTGAATGGCATTTCAAGGCCTTTTACACAGGCTAACTGTATGCAACTGGTAAATTGCTTTATTTCTGTGTGATTTTTCCAATTGTATGACTGATGCACATTTAAAAAAAATAAAAAGCCCCCCCCCCCCTTTTTTTTTTTTTTTTGAGGAAGACCGACATCAGGTATGTCTACATTGCATTGCCAAGAGATATTGGCTATTTTTACTAGTTTTGATTCTACGTTTCTACATGTTTTACACCATATGAATAGATACTGGCCAGGGATTATTTCTATATCCAGTGTAAAAAGCACAGCTTTACATAAATGTATTAATTTTCTCCATGTGCAAAAAATGTACACGCACAATGTGACCGAGAATGGTGCTTTCAGAATTTGCTTCTTACATTTAGTCTTGCATATATAGTGAATATTTTACACATAGTTATTTTGTGTGATGGAAGTACTCAGTACAATCTGGATGTTAGAAAGTAGCATTCAAAGGCTTGTTATTCTTTGTATGGTTAGCACTTTGTATATTGCATACAGGGGAACTGCACAAAAGAGAGATCTTGTTGGGATCTCTCTGTTGCAGTTCTCTTATGGTGCAGACAGATTTATTTGGTAGAAAAGGCACAGGTTGCCTCTAGACGCTATATAGGTTTGCGCCATGATGGAACAATAACACAAACATTGCAATAGTTTTGTCAACTTGTATTTTTATATTAAGATTCTTTGTTAGGTTTTAACAACATAGTCATTATATCTTGTTTTTTTTCTAAAGCTTGTGCACTTTGTCACTGTCATCAATAAATGTGGTTATTTTAACTTTGTATTTTATAGAAATATATAGACATAACTGGGATTCATCACCTTCAAGCTTAGAATTTCAGCAACACATAAGCTGGTAAAAGTACAGTCAGAGATATTTGCTCACTGCTAAGGATCTTGTTTATAATCCTTATCCCATTAAGGTTTCTCACAAAACAATAAACACATTTTAAATGTGCAGCAAAGGGAAAATCTGATGAATAAAATCATGCTAATGTTAAAGAGCCTTTGGCAAAGAAGAAGACTGACTACTATATATACAATGTGAAAGGTTTCTGGCTTGAGCCACAAAATGAGTCCTATTTTGTGAAAAAAGGGGGTAAAATTAGAATAGGCAGTTCTTTTTGGAAAAATGATGGCCACATCTACATATTAATGATATTTGGATATAAAATGGGGAATTCAAACTTAAAAACTGTAAACTTCTTTGTAATTTTAAAGAAAAATAAATTTTATCCCCACCTACCCCCCCAAAGAAAGAGTAAAGCACAACAATTTTGATATTTAAAAACTACATTTTGTCCGCCAACATGCATTAAAAAACAAACATATATACATGTTAATCCTATTTTGTTTGCTGGAAAAGAAAATATTTTAAATATTTGACTGACAACATATTAATTTGATATGGTTTGCACTATCTGCAAACCAGATCGTGGTTTCTGAAGTCAAGTCAGAAACTTGACTTCTGTGGTAAAGTTTTCGTGACCACAGAAGTAAGTCACTAAAACTTGCCCACAAATACAACTGGTGGTACTTTGGCAGCCTGCAATAATTCTCAGAAAACTAAAACATTTTGTCCATTACTTAAGTCTTTACTCTTTTTACTGTTTACAATTCACCAAACCGAAATCCAGCTGGATTTGCTAAGTTGTATATTAATAAATATGTATTGGTTGTACTCACGTGGTTAAAACTCAGCGGTTTAACTCAACTTTAAAGAGTATGGCGGAATTTTGAATACAAACACACATGGCTTGCCATAAAGGGTCAAAAGTAGACTTTTATACGTGGAGTATAGTGTGAAATTGCGCCATCTTGTGGAAATCTGTAGGGATATATTTAACTGCATGTATTAATCTCATGCACCATAGATTAGTGCTGTGGCCTTCAGCCTGTGTTTGTGACATACATTTCATTAGAATTGAAATTGAGCGAGAGAGCAGATGATGGTTTCAAGTTAAGTAGAATAATAATGATAATGATAATAATAATAATAATAATAATAAACATGAGTGCAAAAAATATTTAGTGGCAGTGGTTTCAATCACTTTGGAGGTGGAGCTTCGCGGTTGTCAGACCCCGTAGGTCTGTGGAAGTGGAAACTGCACCGGTCTCATGATGCGGGAAGAAAAGAGAACAAACCCCAGTTAAAGGAAGTGCGATGATAACACAACATAACGGCGCAGTGACTGCCTGCTTTACCGAAGACTGTACACGATGCCGCAACAGCGCGTGTTCGCCCTGCCGAGACAACAATCTCTGCTCCCTCCTGCGGTCATCAACCCGTTCGTTCAAGACACCAACATATCCAAGGCTGCATTAATAAAAGTGAGTATACGGTGGTTGTTTTAGCTCTTATTAAAGCAAGCTCTGGAGTTGTAGCTACTTTTGCAACGCAACGCTCAAGTTGTGTTTCACGCACAGAAAGACACACACGGGCTTCTGTGTAACCAGGGCCTTTAATCGCCTTTGATAATCTGCTTGCAGCACCAACAATGACGGTGATTGTGAGCTTTCACTCCGTTCACTGGGATTTATACAACAGAACGTGTGATTGTCTGGTGTTGTTCATTCTGAGGCTGTATTGCTTCTTCTGAGTTTCTGATTCCCACTCTCCTCTTCGTTCAGTGCGTCCTGTTGGGAATTTTCCTGGTGCCTGTTCGGGTCATCCTCATGTCTCTGGTCCTGACGTTGATCTGGCCTGTGGCTTTTATAATCACCTTCAAACAACCTTTAAAAGGAGCAGTGGAACCAATGACAGGCTGGAGACGGTAACTATGGATGCAACATATCCTGCTTCAATTTAGCCCTCAGTTGAGCTGACCCTGGTTCGAGTGACCCCAAACATGACACTCTTTCCATATTTGTCGAAGTTAGAGAAGAAGGACGAAAAAAAAAAGAGTCATGACAAAGCGGATGTTGGATGATATGCATAACGTCCTCAACGTTGTGAACGTTTGGCGAACGTTAACTGCAAGTGCTTAATTAAACGTTTGTGGATAACGTTCGCCCAGCGTCAGAAAACCACATGACATATTGAAGTGAATACTTCATTAGAAAAAAAAAATACAAGTGGTATGGCTTTAATTTTCACGCATAGGATTTAATTAAGACATTCAGAATCAAAATTAAATATGAGTCAATAAAAAATCCTGGAAAACGTCAGCATTTAAATCATTCGACGCTTAGAAAAGCATCTTGAAGTCAAAGCAGTACCCAAAATTGTATTCAAGAGTTTAAGTACATCAGTATATTTCTACTCATCCTCAGTTGTCATTGCCAGTGCAATGTTTTATACTATGGCATATTGATTATTACACTTGTGTTCAATTTAACATTTATTTATCATTACAGTAATTTAACATCTGTACATAGACTGAAGCTTTTATAGATGGATTGAATAAACACCCATTAAATTAGTATTAGTTTTGCAGTTCTTTTTACACTGAATGTTAAACTTGTTTTTTGTTATTCTGCTCTTTAATTCAATTATGTTTATTTTATTTATATAGCACAATATATTCCCAACAAATCTCATTCCATAATCTCTTTATAAGCAAATATACCAAATTAATATTCAAAACATATGATATCTGTCTGTCACATTACAATCAAATAGACAGAGTCTTGCTTAAAAGATATAAATTCAAAGTTGTAATGATATACAGTAGATTCAGAATTGAATGCTTGCTGGTAAAAAGTTATCAAATAAAACCCACCTTATTGCATCGAATCATTGAGTTTACAGCAATTTCTGCTGTTGCGTAACATGTGTCGACAGTGGAAAGGAACAACTCTTTTGTAACCTGAAGAAACTCTCAGTAAGAGACCGCTGCAATCGACTGGGCTTTGAGAGGATGGAGCAGATACAAAGAAAAAGATAGAAGCTGTGGTACTGGAGTACTTTCTTTGTTGAAGAAAACGTGCACACAGCCAATGCAGAAGTATTTCTGTTGGCAGCTTCACTTTTGAAGACAACCACAATTAAGGAGAGTATAACCAGCTGTTAATATCTGGTTTATTTGGGGGTTCATCAGCTTGGGTAACAAGCAGACTACTTGTTGCTTAACAGATGATTAGTTTTCACACCCTTTTTGGTTTTCACAACTCAAAATGTTTCCAGATATCAGAATTTTGTTGTGTAACTAAAAAGTAGACCAGGCTTCTTTGAGCAGTGTGACTAGAGGTGGAGGATGTGTAGCACTGCACTACTTTATGCCCTACATAGTCAGAAAAAAACCCCATCTGGTTTTGCTTGAACTTTGTCATGCACTAATTTGATAAACATGTAGGAATGGTGTGATGGAAGTGCTTAGCAATTTTGAAACCATAGCTTTTTAATACCATGGTGCACTTTTATATCTGAAACCAACCACGCTCATGACTGACTAAATACATTTCACTATTTTGACTCTAAAACCCATTCAAAAATAGAAACCAAATAGAGAGCCTGGAAAAAAACATATGTAAAGAACACCGACTAATCTTGATATAATCTTGTTTATTTGATTTGGATCAGGTTTGTGTGGATTACATTTGTATATGCAAACTAATCCACCTGCAGCCCTACAGGTAAACAGTTGTATGACCAACTGTTTTTAATAACATAACTATTTTTTCTATTCATCATAACAGGGATGTTCCCCTAGAAAAACACTCTTTGTATTTCTCAACCCAAAATATTTCCAGACATTTTGCCCTTCCAAAAACATTTTGTATAAAATAGTACTAAAAACATGGCAAGATATTATTAAATTTAAATTTTGAATTGACATGGAACAAGTCTTTTGCGTAAGATTTCCCGTCGTACTTAGGAAAATATAGACCATCAGTGTATCGCCAGTGATGCTTCCATGGGCACACAGGAAATTGGCAACTTACCAAAGTGCATCACTTGTTGAGCGAGAGAATTAACAAAGTCCAAACCTTGTTAAAGAGAGAACAAAATACAGCTTTATTACATCTAAAGAGAGAACAAAATACAGCTTTATTACATCTGCGCAGATGGAGAGCACAACAGTTACACTGTTCAGAAGAGCTCTAACCAGACAAAGGAAAACACCTCTCTGATATACTGTATACTGTCCTTCATACAGAGACATGATGTCTGTGGAGAAGCGTATCAGATTATCACACACAGAGAAAAATGCAACCTTCAGTGACAAACAGGTTTCAGGCAATTTGTTATTAGACCCCGCCTTCGAGTCTGGTCTGTCCCCCGAGAAGTAGAAAACTATTTGCTTATCACCTGTTGCTAGGTTTCTGGCTCAATAAGGCAAACTATGAAGGCCAAAAGAGAAACAACATCTCTGTGAGCCTGAAAATAAATCGATTAAACATTGTAAGATTAGTACTGAATTAACTTGTAATAAAAGGAAACACACTGTGAATGTTTTATTTTCCACACACTGAAGAAATAACTTAAAATAAAACGACAGAACATCTTTGGTTTCACCATGAGATAATTTACCTAAAACAAGGAGAAGTAACTTTTACAGATTCATAAAATGGACTCACCAAAGTCTGCACTTTCTCAAAATAATAGCAGCTGACATGGCTTAAGGATTGGTGCATGCTCTTCTGCTGAATCATTTCTTGCGAGATCATATCTAACCCACAAGCATTACCTCAGCTTCCTACGGCTCTCAGGAAGGAAATAGTGAGTACTATTATCAGGGGAACTCAAAAAGCCATTTTTGCTTTTACATAAGTGTTCCTTTTCTAGAATCTAAAATATGAGTTTTTCGCATGTTCTTCTGCATATGTTTTGCAATAAAAACTTTGTGATTCATTGAGGTATGAACTGGCACCTAAATGTTAGCAGCAGATCTTTAAGTTGTGTAAACTGCAAGTTGGAGTCTATGTGTATTTGATTTATTCATCCTGCACATTCCACAAATGCTGCATCAGTTTGAAATCTGAGGAATGTAGGGCCAGGTCAACACCTCTAATGAACTGCTGTGCTCAAACAATTTCTAACCTGCTTTTTGGCATTGTGACAGTGAGCATTTTCCTGCTGAAAGATACTTCAGTTTATTTATACTCCAATTCATAGCAATTTTTGTCTCAAGGCAATTTACAAAGCAAGTTAAATTTAATCATACACACCAATTCTCAAGTGAGTTCATACATTGCAAATTAATTATAATTATCAAACAATTCAGTCAAGTTCTGTTTGCTATTCGAATTAGTTAAAAAAATGTTATCAAAGAAAACCCAGCGAATTTCATCAAGTCACTAACTTTTGCAAAAAGGTGAAGTTGTATTCTGACAACTCTTTGTCACAAAAAATAATAAATTATCAGCTGTTTGAGCTACAGAAGCTTATTTTACAGATTAGATCATAGAACACTCTTGCTAAGGTGTCATGCTCCCCCCCGACACGATAGCTTATTCACTGTTCTAATTCAGCACTCACATTTTTACTATAACTTTAGTTTCTGACTCTATCACATTGACTCAGAAATATTTGTTACTACTCAATTTGTTCAATCGACACCTAACCTACAACATTTTTCCTGCGAGATGCACTTCCAGTTCAGTGAAGTAATTTCTGCCCAGTACATATTAAAGTTAAGCTAAAATTAGCATCACATTGTTTTAAGCTTCTTCTCACATGGAGTCCAATTATTAGAGCTTCAAATTTTCATTGCTTGTAAAAGTCCCACTCTGCCACTTAATGTTTAGCTTCAGTAACTCACTCTGCAGTGTCACTTCCTACCATTTCCCTTGTCTACAGAAGAGACATTTGTTACAAATATAGAGGCTCAGTTTGTCAACTGAGCCTGTTTCATAAGTTTTCATTGTTCTTTTTTTTTTTGTTTGTTTAAAGAATAACTAAAATAATTGCCAAAGGGAAACCCTGAAAATTGCTAATAAAACGCTTGTTTTATATACTTTCTTCTGCACCATTTATAGGCTCATGTGTGTAAGAGTGTTGACTGCCTTGGGGAGGGCCTACTACTTTGCCATGGGATTCAGAGTTGTGGTGAAGGGTAAACAGGTCAGCAGCCTCGAGGCCCCCATTCTGGTGGTGGCTCCCCACTCTGCCTTTTTCGATGCGATTGCATGCATTGTATCCGGCCTGCCCTCCACTGTCTCTCGGATCGAGAACCTGGCTACGCCCATCTTTGGCAGTAAGACATTTCTCAATCATGCTGTGTCTTGAAGAAAACAACATTGAAGTGTGTGTGCTTTAGGGAATGAAGTGTGTATTTTGTGAACTTGTGAAGTGACACAAGTGTGAAACTATTTTAAGATGTTTTTTTCTGTCTTCATCTGACAGCAAAATTTCACACTCTCTTTAACAGTATTTTAATTGTAGAAGGCATGTATGTTATGTGGTGACATTTCTGGTGTCGATGGTCAGTACAATATCAATAAAAACACCACTGATACATTGTTTTTAGAGAACACACATTAAGATCGAACTGTAAACAGTTACAAGTAGCTTGCTTCCTTAAAATACAATGGAAACAAAAAGAGAGAATGGAAAATGTGTTCACTTTTTTCTTCCTGTATGTTTTAACATCAAGGATGTTTGGCTGTCTCTGCAGGAATTATTCGTTGTTTCCAACCAGTGCTGGTCTGTAGAACTGACCCACACTCCAGGAAGAATACAATATTGGCGATCGAAAGTCGGGCTAAATCTGAGGGCCATTGGCCACAGGTTCGTAAACAACACAAAGACATAAACTGAAAGAAAGCCACAACTCATTCTGAGTCTTGTTTGTCAGAATAAAATAATCTTCAAGCAATTAGTAAGCATGCTTTTTATTTAACCCATGATTCGGTAATGAATATATATTTTTTGTTGGTCTGATCTAATTTTATAATCCCAAATGTTGAATTTTAATTAGTGTCATCATAATTAGTAGAAATATTGGCATGAAATATCTGTTTGTATACAGTGTAATTTACTTACAAATTACATAATTCAAACAAATAAACTTTTCAAATTAACTGGTATATAGCTTTACATAATCTACTCATAATAGGTTTATATTACTTCTAAATGAGTAGAATAATTTGAAAAAAGTATAGTTTTAAAATAAAAATAATGTTTTGTCCTGTAGGTGCTGATATTTCCAGAGGGAACATGCACAAATCGCTCATGTCTTATCACTTTTAAACAAGGTAAACTTCAATGATTTGTGACTTAATTTAATTTACTGTTGTTTTTTTGTTGTTTTTTTAAGTTGCAAGTTAAATCCTCTTCTTTATATGACTACTCTATAATTGCTTCTAATGTTGATGAAATGTGTTATACAAATAAACTTGAGATTTGATTGACACTTTCATTTTTCTGTGAAAGTTTCATAATGCACCACTTTGATTTGTGCTTTACTTTGGTAGGTTTGGTGCTTTGACAAGTAACCATAAAAAAATCTAACTTACCAAAACGAAGGGTTTGACTGTGGACAAAGTAAGAACACAGTGCAGGTCTTGGAGTGGCATAACCAAAGTCTGGACTTAAATCCAGACAAAACGCTATAGTGTGACTTAACAGGAGCATGTTCAAAAACCATCCAACTTGGCTAATTTCATACAATTCTGCAAAGAAGAATGGGTTAAAATTATTCACTGCATAGTAACTGACAACCAGTTACTACAAATAACTGTTTGCAGTTTGACTTGACTGAGCTTTTTCACTTAATAAGTGACATAATAATTTAAAAGGTGTATTATGTATTCACTCAGGTTATCTGTGTTTGATATAAAGAAAGATATACATTTATAAAGGTGACTAATAATACAATAGAAGTATAAGAGGGCAATTATTGCTATATATTTACACAATTGCAAAGCTGCTCTTACTTGCAAAGGCTACCAGTTTTAATTTGTTTTAGTTCTGTTTTCCACTACTCAGTCTTTTACCTTTTTTTTCTCTTCATAAAATTAAACCGCTGAATAAAACTTTGCTTCCTGTTGCGTGGTTTCTTCTTCTGCTTCTGTGTTCAGCTTAAATCTCACCCAGGAAACCTCTTCATGTTGTGGCCTCCAATCAATATTTAATGTAGATTCTGATCAAGTGTGTGGCCAATTTGTTCTGAGTTGGGTCAGAAAATATGAATGTCATTCCACTAAAAAACAACAACAGCAAAGGCTGCATATTTGTCATTCTTCCATAATGATAACCTCATCTCTTGTAGGTGCCTTTATCCCAGGGGTTCCGGTGCAGCCTGTCCTTCTCAGATATCCCAACAAAATGGTGAGTGTTATGATTGCTGTACAATAACTCATGTCTTACTTCAAGAATTTTGTTATAATCATGTAGAGATTTTGATGATGATAAAGATGTATACTGCCCAATTTAATGATGACAACCTCCCATGGTGTAGTCACAATTAGAAGACAACAAGGAACTTTCTCAAAAATTATAGCATCAACGTTTTTGACTCATGATCCTCTCATGATATAAATGAGCAATCATTAGTTAACTACTTTAACAAAATACATGGAATCTCAGTATTAGATAATTATCGTTTGCGTTACCTCTTCTACATTCCATATTGCAATGTGTTTTTAAACATTTCAGACCTTTTTGTATTTAATGTTTGCTCTTTAGGATACAGTGACCTGGACGTGGCAAGGTCATAATGCGTGAGTATGATTGACCATCTTGTTTAATTGTTTAAATTTAATCTGTGAGTTTAATAGTGTTTGAGTTTCGTTTCTGATTTGTTGGTGCACCATGCCTGCATGAAATCTGTGTTCATGTTTTATACATCTGGGAGTATTTTAAAGACTAACAGAATTTTTGTAACTTTAAATGAACTTTCCTATTTGTTTTACACACAGGACTGTGAGCCTGTTGCTGACATTGTGCCAACTCTACACCACCGTGGAGGTTGAGGTAACGAAGTGTTTGGTTTAGAAATTTGCTTTCTGCTTGACCTTCTTTGCAACCCTTTTCTCCTTTTTGTTCTGTTTTCCAGTTCCTGCCGCCATACGTCCCTGAAGAGGATGAGAAGAATAGTCCCGCTCTTTTTGCCAGCAGAGTGAGAGACATCATGGCCAAGTAAGTGCCCATTGTCCATGTGTCTGTCAAGTCTCATGGAAGTCATTTGTCTGTTGTTGAAAGCTGGTATACAAAACAATTTCCTTGCTTTGAATCACCCATTTTACTTGCTTTTCCCCTTTGAGTACATAGAGGATCAGGACTGAATAGAAAAATGGAAGTATATATCCATCGATGCTCCAGTGTGAGAAACACTGGAGCATGCTGAGCTTAGTTATTGCATCAATGATATTCGAATGCCTAAATTTTGTTTGGATCCACAACTAAAATCATTTAGGCTGACTGCTGAGATATTTACCTTCAGGGCTTTGGGTGTTCCAGTGACAGACCACACTTATGAAGACTGCCGCCTCATGATCTCAGCTGGAGAGCTGACACTTCCCATGGAGACTGGCCTGGTGGAGTTCACTAAAATCAGTCGGAAACTCAAGTAAGAGCATCACCTGCACCTCTTCAGACTTTATACAAAATGTTTTCCAATGCCAATTTAGTAGAAGTGGTGCGGGGAAAGGGTAATCACTTTTGTTTTTGTTCATGTAGTCTGAAGTGGGACTGTTTGAAGAAGGAACTTGAGAGTTTTGCGACCATGGCCTCTTCCTGCAAGGGTGGGAACATAACCATTGAGGAGTTTGCAAGGATCCTAAAGCTTCCTGTAAACCCTGTTCTTGCTGAGCTGTTTGCCTTGTTTGACAGGGTGAGGATGTTTGTTTCCAAAACCTTATATGTCGCGTTGCAGCTTCGACTGCTGAATAATACTCTTACTAAAAACCTGCACTATCTTATATTTAGGCATTGGGTGGGTTTCAGTATCAAAGTGGACCAAATTATTTGGGAAATTTGTTTTCTTCCGTATTGTTTCTATGGTTTAAAACAACTTAATAGACGTCAGTGTGAATAACATCTCCACTGCACTGTGTAAAACTGCGATACTTCCTGATTTCGAGTTCCGTCCTCGTTGTAATTACCTCATGTCTTTACCCTCTTCTCTCAGCCCCCTTCTTGTCAGATTACTGTTGCATAAAGGCTACTAGTGCTGGTGCACAGATGCTCTGATCAACTTAAAGAAGCATGTAGTTTTGAGTTGATGAACAGAACTAAATGCAAAAGCAACTTCCAGTATCACATTTGATGTATAAACTGTACTAAAATAAGAATAACTTATGTTTCTCATCAGCTCCTCTTGTGTTACCGTCAGAAGTATTGATACAATCTGGTATATCGTTAATAAATTTCAGATGAAGGATAAACGACGTGAATTCCTGACATAGTCAGCTTTGCTTGTGTTGCACTCTGTAGGACGGGGATGGCACAATTGACTTCAGGGAGTATGTTATCGGTGTCAACATCTTGTGTCGACCAGCAAACACCCAAGATGTTCTAAAAATGGCTTTCCAGGTAGGATGGGGGGAAATATTCACATTGATTTTGATCTATGTATTTGAGTAAGAAGAGTCCTTCAAAACTGGTGCTTTATTTGCAATTCTTTATTCATCGACTTATTCTGTTTGGGCAGCGTTTCCTGCTGCTGTTATTTTTTCATTTGATTTTTAAAGTAAGTAATATGGAACATAAGCTGGCAGTACAAAGATTCTGCTCCCAGATCTGCCTTTACTGTCTGTGCACAGCAGTCAGAAGCAGCTAGAAACCAGAGACAGAAAGGAATGGACAACATCAAGTTAACAAAGAGTGTCTGCTGGAGTCATTTTGCCGGATATGAAACCAAATATAATTTTGAACAAACAGTTTTTGCATTTATTTACTGTAACTGAAGGCTTTTCCTCTGCCATTTAAGTCGCTGTATTTTGTCTCCCAACACCCTTTCTGTTATTTAATAATAATTTCCTTCTCTGCCTGTCAAACTTTAAAGGAAATATAAATTTAATTCTTAACTTTTTGCAGCTATTTGACATAGATGAAGATGGGAAAATCTCCCTCGATGAGTTTAACGCTCTGCTGCGTTCCGCTTTGGGAGTGCCAGACCTGGACATGACGAAGCTCTTCAACGAGATTGATGCTGATGGTTCTGGTTTTATCACTTTCAGTAAGTTAATTGTGCTAGCACTTTCATGTCAAGCTACATTTTGGAATTTAGATGCTCCAAGGTCGTTTGCACAAGTGTTTAGGCATTGACACTGGAATGTGTGCAGTGAGTAATTGAATACATTTGTCATTACTTTAACTTCCAGGTATGCTTGTAGTTCCACTGGATATTAATGGTTATTCTATTTTTTTCTTCCTCAATTTTCAGATGAATTTCAGATGTTTGCCTCAAGCCACCCCGAGTATGCCAAACTCTTCACAACCTACCTGGAGCTTCAGAGATACCAAGCGAGCCAAGAGGCAATGCTAGGCGATCTGGAATTAGCCGAGCAAATTTGTAAAGGAGAAGCAACTGAGGACAGCATCTCTGACAAAAAGGATGACTGAGACTAAACTTTGCTTGATTGCACTGGCAGAAAACAACAAACAAAATAAAAACAAATTAAAGGCCAACTTGTTGGCATCTTAGTCACAATTAAAGCATTTGATATTAGTGTTTTTTTATTTAAAAAGTAGTGCCTTATGGAATTTCAATTAATAATCACATATGAGTATTTGACATAAGATGGGGGGAAAAAAGTAAAAGAAGATTAATTTTCTGATCATATTAGCATAGCAGGACATGATCATTCTCCCATAGTTATTGTTGAATTTTTTTGATTTTTTTAGAATCACTCTGTTGCACTGAGATGAACACAACCCTGTGCACCTTATTCTTTGTCTTTGTGGTTTGCATTTACATAAGAAACAAAAATGCCAAACCACCGTATCTTTAATCATAAGCAAAGGATCCCTGTGCTTCTGTGTTTCCATATAATTAGTGTTCAGTAAGCTGCAGTAAGAGCTTTCCAGTCTGGTGAGCCAGAGTTATATTCTGTACAAAAGCTATGTTTACATTGAACATAGATGCTGCGCCTTACACTTTTGCAGCGCTCAGGGACAAATACCTTGTAAGACGGCCGTGTAATTAGACAGAAGTTTGCTTTGCATGTGTACCTATTTGCATTTCTACTGATGATAGTTGTTGCTGAGACAGCAGAGTGCCTGTGCTGCTTTAAGTTGACTAAAGCAAATCAAGCATTGAAAATAGGGCAATTTGTGAGCAAAAAGCCAACAGTGCTTCTTCACAGCAGCATATTCCATAGGGATAATAAGCCACATTGTTATTTATTTAGCAGAGTGTATTACAATTACGTGAGCTGTGTTATTATTGTTTTTTTTTTTGTTTGTTTTTTTTTGGGGGGGAGGAATATTGCAAAGTTTGCTTTTTAAAATAAAGCAATAACAGAATGCTTGCTCTTTGTTTCCCTTATTTATTTATTTTTTTTTTTCAGTTTAAGTTTTTTGAAATTTATTCAGCATAAAATCTAATTACTTTTTCAGCAGCTGTAATGATGTTTCTCTAAAACAACCACAAGGTGCCAGCAGTTAGCTGTTCTCTGTCTGGTGTGTCTGTCCAGCTCTCTGGGTTTTAATAAAATGTGACATTTGGACCCTAGATAACAAAATTAGATTTAGGTTGACACATTTGTTAAATGGGAATTAGTGTCTGAATGTCTGGCGTTTTCCTAATACATAGAAATTAGGGATGTTCCTTATGAAAGCACATGCATTTGGGTGAAAAAATAAATGTTTCTCTGGTGAATTGTAATCGGTGAGAAAATATCACATTTAGCAAACATAATTCAATCATATGCAAGTACAGAAAGCAAAGCAATGATTTCTCAGCTCAATGTTTTACTGGTATGAGAATATAAATCTAATATATCCCTTCATCCACTGTCTGCTTAATTCTGTTTAGGGTGATATGGCAGCTGGATGTCCAGGTCCATGAGGAGCTGGATACCAGCCCAGTGGGTTTCACTTCAAAACACTCTTACCTACTTCAAATTTTATAGTGAGCAATTATTCTGACATACATATTTTTTTTAACTGTGGAAGGAAAATTGGGATAACTAAAGAAAATTTATGGATTCACGGAGAAAACTTGCAAACAAAAACAAGCCGCAGCTTCTAATATTAGAAACTTTTTTTTTTGTTTGTTTTTTTTGTCCTGCTTGTAACCTTGGAGGAGGCTTGTCCTGGGATTTTAGGGGTGCCCTCTGTTTCCCTCTCAGGTTTCCTCAACAATTTTACAACACAGAGCATCTGGCTTCACTTCTGTGCACATTTTGCATGCAAACTCATACAGACACAAATCAGAGTCTGATTTTATTTCTACAGGGCTTTTCATACAGAAAAACGTAACACAAATGTGTAGATTTGAGAACAAATGAAAACAACCATCAACAAGTTAAGTAAATAATTGTTTACAAATTTTACAGCTGAAAAGAATAAATAAAAAAATATAATAAACGAATAAAATTGTAAGTGAGAAACATCAGAGATGTACTTGAGCATAAAAACTAATGGTTAACATTTGAAAAACCTAAAAAAAATATAGATGAAGCATTATATTTTATTTATGTTGAACTCTAACGTAATGATAAACATTTGGCAAAAATGCATTGAAATTCTGCTTAAAATAAAATAGAACAAGCCAAAGTCACATTTGATAAAAACAAATGAAATTAGTTAAAACAAATAGATATTTAAGAAATAAAAGTTTTTCTTTCTTCTGCATGTATCAGGAGCTTACAGAATCTCAGATGTTAAGTATGTTAAATATTTATTAATTGTATGGCTGTGGGTGCAGTTGAGTCAGTAAGCTCTGTGAGTCACTTTAGTGGTATTATATTTATTCTTGAAACATTACAAAAACGTAAATTTTGCTTTAAGACCCCGGCATTGTTATTCATCCCTCCAGAATGATAACACGTTTCTATCAGCTTCTCTTTCCTCAGTTAACGTCTGTAATACCCATCACTTATGCTCATTGTGTAAAAAGAAGAATTTGTCAATATACTTATTTGCTTTCTCAACTTGGGTACACAATTACATATTTCAAACATATTTTTATTTATTATTTCAAATAACATGTTTTACGGTCGTTTTTTTATTTTATATAAAGCAAAGCACTCAAATGTTTTTCAGTCATGAAGCCACTTGTGCCAACTCTGATTTCTGTATGTGGTTGTGAGCATCATGTTAATATGCATGCCAATTTTAATAGAAACACAAAAATGCATGTAGGGCATGAAGGAGGCTGAAAGGAAGTGTGGAGAGACGAACTCCTCATTAAATGCTCCCTGTTAGACTAACTGTGATTACCAGCTGTGATTTCCTCGTTCAATTTGTTTTAACCTTTTCAGACGTACAGAGGCTCATTTCATTTTGATCAAAATTGATGAGATGCCATGGAATCAATTAAACTGCCTTTTGTCGCCATGTTTACAACAGTTTGGATTCTTCCCCACCCACAGTGCTTGCTCTCCTCTCTATCCCCCGCGCCACTCCATCCCACCGCTTTTCCTTTGGTTGTATATTGCTGTATCCATTTCAGCCCTGCCTAGAGGGTGATCCTGTCGCACTAGATTGTGGGAGATATGTGTTCGTAATTTGATTTGGTCTCCTCAGGACCCGAATGAATGAGCAGCTTGTGTTTGTGAACACAAACACACAACCATATGGGGACTCAGGCCCCCTATATGGTTGGGAGGATCACTGTGTCAGGCTGGAAGAAAAGGTCAGAACCACCAGGCCTCATCATTAAATTGATGCGGCACAACTTGGTGCATCAATTTCACCAAAAGCTTGTTGTCTAGTTCAAGTAAAATAAGGTCAAGAACTAACCATTTTCTATTTTATGTAGAACTGACAATTTCGTGCAATGGGAAATGTCTGCATGTACAGTTCTTTTATTGTTGTAATTTTAATGCTTTACATAATTTTACAGATATTGTTTGCTGAAGAAATGAACAAACTTCTTTAAGTTTTTGAATTTTCATATCAAACAAATTTGTTTTAATCTAAACCAGGGGTTCTTGAATCCAGGCCTTGAGGGAGAGTGTCCTACAGCTTTTATATGTGTTGCTGGTCCAACACACTTAAAAGTTGAAGACATTGGTCCTGGAGGCCAGGATTTGAAAACTCCATTTTATGCTTACCGGTTTTGATCCTCTCAAACCTCGACCTCGACTCTTTTGTCACCTCTAACAAGTTTTCTATAATTGTTCTGTATGTTAGAAGGCATCTGAAAAAAGGCATCCCAACAGCATGACGCAACCACCACTGTATTTTACAATGTGGTTGAAGTGCAGTGTCAGCTTTCTGCCACAAATAACATTTTCCATGTTGGCCAAAGAGTTTAATTTGAATTTAATTTAACTTTAACTTCTTCTCATTTGATGTGGTTGCTGAAATGGCTTGTAGCAAACTATAAGACGAACTTCTGACTCTCTTTTAAAAATGGCTTCCTTCTTAGTACTTCTTTGTAAAGGTTGGGGTTTTGGAGCCAACGTCTAGTTCCTTTTGTGTTCACAGATTCTCCTGCCTGAATTATGGATCCCTGCATCTTCCCCTGAGTTTCATTTGACTTTTCGGTTGCTTCTGTTGTTATTGCACACATTATCTGGTCGGTTAGATTTGATGCACAACACTTTCTTAGGACGTTTGCAGCTGTGCCATACTTTTAGCATTTTTCAGTGATCATCAGACCTTAGTGAAATGTTCTAATAAAATACATTGAAGTTTGTGGTTCTAAGATGACAAAATGTGACAAAATAATATCTTAACAAGACACCATATTTCCAGTGTTTGCATAATTACCCAGTAGTACAAAACGGTCATTAACAGATTGATTTTAGTGGCAAAGGCATCATAAGTGTTTATGTTTTAAGAATATTGCACAAAAGCACACATTCAAAATAAGTTGTGCCTTGCGCTTCTATATAATGGACTTTCCCACCTATAACAACAGGATACCTGGGTGTGTATTCACACTCCTTTGACCTTGCCTTTATCCTGCTTGACGAACATGGGATTCAAAAGGTCAGCACACTGTGCCGACACCTTGCACAAATAGTCTACAGGTTAAAGAAGTCCAAAAATGTTCCTGGCTGCCACTTCAGAGCACGGTATGTTATTGTAAATCCATCTTAGTACTTCTTATTATACATGTTTTTTTTGCAAACTATTATACATCCTGAATAATTAAAACAGTAAAACTGTGCTTCCTCAAATACGTCAACTACATTTTAAAACCTATATAACGGATCAGGTTGCAAGTTTTGACTTTCACCTAATTTTTTCCTGTAACTCAGCACTGCCTGGGATATGCTATAATTTATGATTTTGTACAGCAATATGTGAAAAAGAAAAAAACACTTGACAAAGAATTTAAGCATTTGCAAGTAAAAAAACTGCTGGATCTCAAATAGCATATTTTAATGTCTTGAAACTGATTGTCCAGCTGCTCGGTTAGAGGAACACTTGCACTTTAGATTGATGTCTGTTGAGTAGACATTTGTGCTGACTTAATAAGCATTCGTCTCCACACCTCACACATTTGACTCCTGCAGGCCTAAGCCTGGCAGCCGGTC